ATGTAAGAATTATTTCAATATTATAATTTAAAAAATTCTATGTAACTGTATGCCAATATTGAAAAAAAAAAAAGGTAAATCTGATAATAAATCTCAGCGACTTGTTTTGAAAAAGTGCCGTGAAAGGTTATCAGCGAAGATATTCGCTTTGGCATCAGTTCTACTATTTTCGGCGACTTTATCGCTTGCGCCGGTGAAATGGGAAATTGCGCCGGCCAAACGGAAAAGTACCTTCAGAAATCTGCTTAAAAAAAATCAGAGAATTTCTGAAACTCGCGCATAACCAACTCCATTGATTCGAGATGTAAAAAAATATTTCCAGAAAAATGACACAAAACAAAAGTAAAGCTACCAGAATAAAGTAACTACCCAATATCCAAATTGCCATATTTGACAAGCACCCGATATTTTACTTAAGTCGAATGTGGTGTTGGGTGGGATACTTGAAGGAGAATGTGATGGGGAGCAAAAGGAGAGGACTGAAGGTAAATTTCATTTATTATTAATGACGTCTCTAGTGTAGAATTGGGTGCCTCTTCGATCAGCCACAATGTTTTGTAAAATTTTGGGGATGAAATCTCATTTCTGATTACCATGATAGTTTAACTTTGTTTTAGACTCCTGATTTTTTTAAAATAAAAATAGATTGATGTGTACAAGGACAAATTTAAAGCAGTGCGCAATGCCTAGTTTGCGCAATTCTGGGATTTTTTTAGTGAAAACAGATCGACATGGACACAGAATTTATGCAATCTTGACTTATTTTTGTTTTGTAGCGGCCATCTGAATTAGCTTTCTGGCGCCGATCTTGTGTCAAAAAGAATCGCCAAAACCAAGGGGCACCCAATTGTAAACTTTAACTCCACATTTTCTCAAGCATAACTCTATGCACACTTCCTACAAAACTTTTCCAATATCACAGTATTTTTAGCAATACCGTAATTCGATTGCCTAATCATTCGCGCACTTATCCACCACATATAGGTATCTCGAAAACAAACATTGCTCAATTTACTTTCGCAAAAACACGAGTGCTTTCGAACAGACCGTTAATTCATGCTACATTCGCCTCCAATAAGTCTACACATTCACTCAAACTATCTATACAGTCTTCGCTCTACTGTTCATATCAGTTTCATAAATTGGGCATTTATACGGGTTTGCTATCAGACTTTCTCCATACACCACTCAATCAGCTTTTTTTTTTTTTTTTTTTTTTTTTTACCATTTCGCTGCAACTGAAAAAAACAGATTCAGATACATCCATCTGAAATCATCGAATCGACACACTCATCAATAATCAAAACCGCTCTTTAAGCAAAAGTCCTTCTGTATTTTGAGAAGGTACGGTTATAAAGTTTTAATCACGCATTTAATATTTTCAATCATTTGGTTTATAGATATTTGTCCGAGACACGCGTTGCGGGTAAAATCTAGTATACGGTGCGGCTTGGCGCGATTTTTAAAATTGTCGCCAACACCAAATGATGCGTTTACGTTTGCGCAAATTTTTGGCATCTCAAGTAAAGGGCACACAAGTTTGAGTTGGCAAAAAAGTAAACAAATGATATCAAGAAATAAATCATGCATACGGTTGAGACACAGAAAAAAAGCAAGCATTAGAAATTGAAATATTTTTACAGACTTTATAACAATAAAATATAATTTTCAACGTGCATCGCAACAAACAAAACTTCACATATCAATATAATAAATTAATACCATGGCTCAGTGTCACATATGTTTTAGGGTCTATTATAACTCAAATGCCATGGCCCTCAAACTCGGGTGGCGGATATGTTGCTCTTATTGCAAATATAAAGTCTTTCGTTTTTTCAGAATGACGATTTATTATTGTTCAGGCGCCGCCACATATATTCCGCCAAATAGGAGTCAAACTCTTCGCTTACCTTTTTCGTCCCCTTCATCCTACGCTTAACAGCACTCCACGTTCCCTTCCAAACCCTAGTATACGGTGCGGCCATGCCGCGATTTTTAAAATTCGGCAGCATCCGGCATCTACTGCCCACTGAATTACAGCAACTTTCCTTCTAGTTCTAACTTTCAAAAAAGTTCGTGTTTAAATATTCGCAATTCATAGCATTGCACATCATAATCGAAGTAACGTATCCAACTGTAGAACAAAATACGTTAGCAACTCAACTGTAGAATAAAGACGTTATCAAACTAAAATTATATTCAGTATCTGACCAAAAACCGATTAATTAAAATATTAACCAATCGGAAACTCGGCGGAACCACTACTGTTATTTTAAAAAATACAAAAAATAAAAGATAAATAAATTTTACCTGAACATACGTTATCCTTTCTCATTCAGTTCAGCCGAAGACAGAAGATTAACAGAAAGAACTTCAAACAATGGTTTGAAATAATTCTTCTCTTCCATCTGCACCAATCAAAACTTCTCAATTTAAAATATTTAATGAGCATGCGCGAAAATGCTCCCAAATCGTGGCCTTCGAGAAAAATCGGGTTCTTTTAAAATGCTCTTTTTATTCATAATTTTCATTTTTATCTATAAATGAAAAATAATGTGCAGTATTTTCAGTTCGAAAGCAAACATTTTGCATTATACGTTTAAGTGTTGAAAAGTTTTATCCAAACTATAGAAGTAAAATGGGATTGAAATAAATAATTATTGATCACCCAGATGAAAATTTTTATCAGCGTTAAAAAATAAGCTCAGATACCTGAAGTCTTCAAGCATGATATTTAATTAAATGCTAAGATAGTATCACTTATTTAATAATTTCCTGTTTACTTTACATCGGAATAACATAAAATTAGCTTTTACTATTAAATAAACGCGTTGTGGAATCGCTCGCTTTCAGTGGAGAAGAAAGGTTTCTTCGCACTCCATACGGTGACGTCACGAGAGAGCTGGACGGCCTTGTTTCTCGAAGGCCACGCCCAAATGCACTCTCCTACAGAGCATCAAAAATCGGCTTGGTTACCACAATTGGCGAGCTTATTAGTCTCTTAAACCCGAATTTCGCCAACTCTCATGTGCACCGTATACTAGGATTAAGCCGCGTTGCGTAAAATACTAAAACTACCACATAACACACAAGAGTAGATTTATAATTTAAAAAAATATCGCACAGAACATTATAAAATTAACATTTCAACTCAGTTAAAATATAATTTTTCTTTAAATATGAAGCTATAGCATACTTATAACTTATTTTTAATGGTGTATTTAATTATGGCAAAGCACAACTATCTGCCTAAGGGGAAGGATGCCTTCGTGGAGGACTTTCTAAGGGAAACTAGCTTGTATAAACGTTACACATGGGAAACCACGAAAACACCCATACAGCCAGCCCGTTCGCGAGATTCGAACCTCGGACCGAACTACCAGTATTCAGCGACTTTATCGCTCGGCCGCTGTAACTTGTTTTTAAGAAGAGGCGTAACCAATATTACATTATAAAAAGGCATGTCCAAGCATTGAACAAGTAAACACCACATCGACTGATGTAGCCCATTCTGCGATTTAGCCAAAACTAGTTCATTTATTATTCCTAACACATTTGATGAATTCTGAAAATTCTAATTGCATACATTACCGCTGAAGATACATTGCAATATAGAACAAAATTTAAATTTTTAAAGTTGACTTACCATTTCAGAAGTATTTTAGTCCCACGTACGCTCGGAATTTGTATTTCACAGACGCATAAAAACAATCGAACCATCAATTCTTGATGCAATCCATGCGCACCAGAAGAAATCGAAACTATCATACAATCCACCGTCGAACTCAGAAAAAAAAAACTGCGGAACTTTAAAATGGGTACGCAGCTGCTTACGACGCTGTCCGTAACATATATTCGATAACAGGTGACTACATATAACGTGCGTATAATATCAGTGACATCTTGTAACATTACAGAAACATCGTACTTTCTTTTTCCATTTTACACTTCATAAGTAGAATTGGATCACATCCGGGTAAACCAGTGTGGAAGTCTGGAACATGGGAAATGTTAAACACTGTTCTGACTCCAATAAGATTAATATTTATTTAAATTTTTTTATATAGAATTACACAGACAGAAAATCAGACAATGTTCTTTTTCTTCTTGAAGGCTTACTGTTGCCACTCTGGCGAAAAGAAAATTGCATGCGAGGAGTTTCACAGATGGCGCTTCGTTGACGCAAATGATATCGCCACACTGACAAAACGCAAAGAAAATTAATTCTAAATAGCATACGTAAATGAAACGAATTTCCGTTAAGAAAATGAAACTAGATCCTTCAAACCAATTTTGAGAACATAATACTTTTCTTCTCGGACCATTATATCTTCACATCATTATTTCATCGATTGATGTAACCAAATATGGGGAGTTGAAAAGGGTCAGTCACTTGTATGGAATCTTATTTTTGTTCTCAGCTTACAGATTAATTCTCGAACTCAAGCCTTTTTTTTTTTTTTTTTTTTTTTTTTTGTTTTGTCTGAAAGGACACTTTACTTGGCAGATTGGATACGCCGCCCAAACTGTATAATGATTAGGGGGAGCCTGACTGCGACACCAAAAGGCCCGGGTTTGAATGGATGTAAAATTGTCTGTCCCTTCATAGGAGGTAATGATGCCCGCCTATTAGGTGCCTCCACAAATAAAATGGCCACCACTTCTGGCCTTAGTAGTGGCCAGTGCCTTTATAGGCAAGTGCCAGTCATTGGGAGGGGGAAAAAAGATTGGATACTGTGGTTAGAAAGTTTTCGTACCTACACTTCGTTAAAATTTGCTTCCTTACTCTGGTACTGTGTCTAGCGATCTCTCATTAATGACATTTTTACCGTTATAAATTTTCTCATTAGTATGATGGAAAAGCCCCAAATCAGATGTTTCTACTATTTAACTATTTATCATTATTCAGTTCATCTTTCCTGACAGCCTTCTGTAGGGGTCTGCCACTTCGGATTTTAGAAATTGAGACCTGTTTAGGACCATAAAAAAAGATTTAACACTGCTGCTGAATCATGTGCAAATGACTGCATGTTAAAGAATACTTTTACTTCTACTTTGATAATGGTCAATATGGCAATCGCTGTGAAATTATTTCATGGAACGTAAATGGAATTTTGGTAAGAAGGGATGTTAACTGCTATTTATTTCATGACCTTTTCACCTATTTGAGATTGATAACCAATTTTTTATTCTCAGCGCTTCTAATGTACAGCTAATTAATTATTCTCATTTTATTTTGTCTTTAAAATTTAATATTTTTTCCTGTTATTTACGAGGTGAGTAATGTTTTAATTAATTCATGATAAACATGAATAAAAAGTATACTGATAAATGAGGAAAGACTGAGAAGTTTGGATATATTTTAGCTGAAATGTGTATGTTGATCAGTTGTGTAAGATGGGTAATATAAAATTATATTCTGAAATAAGTGAAGTTTTTTTTTAAAAAACTTTAAAAAATTATTTTTAAACTTATGAATTGGAAGTTTTTTGATGCATGGCTAAAAAAATAAGCTATTTGTGTGTCTTTTGTTAAGTGATATGCATCTTGCACTTATTTCATATTCTATAAATTTTCAAACCTGTTGTGTTTACACACAGCAGTGTTTTGAATCTGTATATGTATTTTGTAAATAAAAGAACTAAATATTGATTCATATAGTGCTCATCAGTGTCAAAAATTGGCTACTTCTCTATCATTTAAAGGACATTCTTTGGGATAAATCTTTCTTATATAAGATAGCTTCTAATATAATCTCTTTTGTGTCTAAACATCTGAGTAGGAGAAGGCTGAAATTTGAGAAGATTCACTTCCAAGGAGTTCTTAACAATTTTTATATTACAATAAGAAAGGCAGTGAAGTATAAGCAGTTGTTTAAGAGTATATAAGTTTATAGGGAGTCTTTCTGCCCTAAACTGCTTTCAGTTCCATTGAGCAAGTTCTAATTAGATATTTCATTATGTTTAATAATATGCAATGGCTCAGATTTGTTTTCAGACACATGTAATTTTGAAATTTATATTCATAGATCTCGTAGGTGCTAGCAATGTTCTTTTTTCTTGTACTAAATACTGAAAAATATATTTCAATTTTTTTCTAATATATTATTTTTTCTTTATTTTAAATTCTGATCATTTTAAATAAATAACGTCAAAATATTCTGGGTAATAAAATAATATGTTCAAAAAGTGTTAATTCATAATTTGCATAATACTAAATTGGACACTCCAAATTTTCATTAAAATGCTTTGGTAGACAATATTTCTAGTTATAATTGTTTTTTTTTTTTTTTTTTTTGTACTTTTCCGTTTCGTCGGCGCAAATCTCGCCAAGCAGACTTTATTGGTGACAACATACGGTATACACATAAAAAATATTTAAAAAAGGTTAGTTCTAAGAATTCTTTTTTTTTAAGGCATAAACATTTTAATATCGCTTAAAATTTTATAAAAGACAATAAATGTAAAAAGACATTAATTTAAGAATTCCTATGCTTTCATGGTTCAACATCCTGATTCGCCGGTTCATATCACGTGAACCCAACGATTCATCTCACGTAAACTACTCTACAAAAATCTAATGCTCTCAGTAATTATCTACATTAATTTCAAGTTAAATCTTAATTTGGAATACAAGTTTAAATGCAAGAAATATTTCGATTCGTACGAATAGCTTACACAGAAATTATGTAAAACTGCAGTGCTTTACTTTGTTAATGCATTCTCATTAGAATTGATGAATTTAACCCTTGACTTTATCTTTTCTATATTTTCGGCTTCGGGTAAGCGCTGTGATTGCATCCTGATTGACTTAATTACCGAAAATGGCCTTAGACATAAAACTGAACTAGTATCTGATAAAAATTCTATGTAATTGTACGCTAGTATTGAAAGAAACAATCAATCTGATAAGACAAAGCGGCAACTTGTATTGAAAATGAGGCGTGAAAGGTTACCAGCGAGAATATTCCGTTTGGCATCGGTTGTACCATTATTGGCGACTTCATCGCTTGCGCCGGCAAAACGGAAAAGTACCTTTTTTTTTTTTTTTTTTTTAAATAAAAATACATCCCAAGAATTATCATTTGCATTTGGAAACTTTTACTTGTTTAGCAAAATACAGGGTAGACCCATTTTGATGTTTAATAACTCGTAAAATAATAAAGATAGATTAAAATTAATAACATAAATGGTTAGATGGACTCAAAAAGTTTCATAACCCTTGTCAATGAACTTCCACTTGTGCCCCCTTCGTCGCATGGAGAATATCAAGTCGATATTCAATTTCACGGCAGGTAGTGGCAAGCTTGTCGGCATCCACAGATTCTATTGTGGTTGTAATTCTGGGTTTTAGGTCATCAGTGTTCGACACTCCTCAGGTAAACGTTGTCCTTTAAAAATCCACAAAGGAAAAAGTGCAGTGGTGTTATATCAGGTGATCTGGGTGGCCAAGGAATTGGACCTCTTCGCCCAATCCATCTTCCTGTAAAATGGTCATTCAAATAACGATGGTACTCCAATGAGGTGGTGTACCATCTTGTTCAAAAGACATGTGGCTGAAGCTCTTCTAGTTACGGACATATGAATGTTTTCCGACATGTTTAAGTATATGACTGATGAGACCGTCCTTTTTTCTGGAAAAAGAAAGGACCCGATGACTCGGTCGTGCATTAGTCCGCACTACACATTAACCTTTGGGGAATCCCTTTGTGCCTCACGGTATTCATGGCAGTTTTCAGATCCCCATATGCGCACGTTATGGCGATTAACAATGCCAGAAAGAGTGAAAGGATGCTTCGTCGGAGAGCATTATGCGCTTCAGAAATTCATCATCGTCTTCTATCCTCCTTAGCATATCTTTTGCAAAGGCCATCCTCCTAGGCCTATTGTCCGGTTCCAAAACTTGAACAATTTGAACTTTCTATGCATGCAGTCTTAATTTTTTTTTTTAATAATGTACAAAACTTGAACAATTTGAGCTTTGTATGCATGCAGTCTTAATTTTTTTTGTACACTATCGAAATTGGCATATCCAATTCTCTTGCCGCTGATCTCACAGATTTTTTAGGATTGTGTAAAAATGTCTCTCTGAAATGCTCAACATCAAAAATCGCCCACCAGTGGCCGAGCGGTAAAGTCGCTGAGCACTGGTAGTTCGGTCCGAGATTCGAATCCCACGAACGGTCTGGCTGCATGTGCATTTTCGTGGTTTTCCCTATGTGTAACGTGTATACTAGCCAGTTTCCCTTAGAAAGTCCTCCGTGAAGGTATCCCTCCCTTTAGGCAGATAGCTCTCGAGGCTTTGGCATAATCAAACTACACAACATCAAAATCACTTGTGCTGGGATGTCTGGAACGTTTCTTATCTGCGATACTTCCAGTTTCTAGAAAATTCTTTTCCACCGCAAGATGCTGCTTTTGGATGGAGGATGTGTTTGGTAAATTCTACTGCAATTTCTCTGTGTTTGCATCATGGATTTCGTTTTTGTGAACCACCATAAAATGTGTGCTTTCTCTTGTGGTGTATGCATTCTCCTTAGTATCCGATCGAATAAAAAATCGCATACAAAAGTACTAGAACAAACACATCAAAAGTAAACATAACATTGCAATAGTTGCCAAAAACAAAAGAGAGAAAAATGCAATTAATAAGCAGACGATATTTTGAAAAGTACAGATATTTAGACTGGAAAATGAAATTATCTGAAATTAACCACATGTGCAGATGATATTTACAAAAGTAAAGATATTCAAACCTGAAAAGTAAAATATATAAGTTATTCCATCAATTAATGCCATAAGTTTGTTTATATCTTCATTATTTTATGAGTTATTAAACATCAAAATGGGTCCGAGACTTTATAAACACACCCTGTATATTAGCAGTTCCATATCTGAAGTGTACATGGCAAGACACTGCAAATTATTGACAAATGCTGTTAGAAATTTAATATAATTCATCTTTTTAAAGGCAGTAAAAGTATTGCAGATACTAAAAAAAATCTCTGATGTAAATCATTATTATGTTTGGTATAATAAAATGATGGAAATTGCGTGGAACTGTTGAAAATGTGCTGAAGTTTGGAATACATTCTAAACTAACACCACAGATTACAGATTTATTTAAAAAAAAAAAAAAAAAAAAAGCAATCATCGTCCAAAAATTTAGTACTGTAAAATATTCAGCAGATTTAGAAGAATGATTTGCAATAAAAATTAACCCTGAAGCTTTTTAGAAGAATCATTTAGGGCAAATGGATAAAATTGGCAATCAACAAGAAGGAAATTTCTGCTTCAGCAAGAGAACAAGGAAAACATGCCTGACATTTGCAAAATCTGTAATGAGCTAAGTTTTATCTTATTGGAACAATGCTATACTTGCAAACAAGTCTAAATTTAATATACACTCAAAAGTTGTTAATCCGGACTCGTCGGGACTTCGGCGATTCCGGATTTTTCCGGATTATAGATCATCAGTTTAAATCTCGTAAGATGGCATGCAGAAATTCTAAAATTAAAAATATGAAACCGTAATTTATGAAATAAAGAACAATTATGATCTAAAGAATATCAAAATTTACAAAAAAAAGCTTAATATTTATTTGTTTACTGTATTAAACATTTCTTTCAATGCAAGTTGTTTAAATTACTTCGTTTTATGTGATAATACTTTCTCTTTAATTCTATAATCAGACAAAATTTCTTGTTCAGTTACAAAGTTCCGCTGTTCAAGTCCCGTAATTGCTGTGCCGAGAATACCGACTAACTTGTCAATCGAAATGTTTTCGTTTTCACTAACCTCTCTGTCACCTTCTTCATGTCTTTATCCATTTTTTGCAGCAATTCCACTTTGTGTTTGATGGACATCGAAACATACTTTTGTTTTGTAGATCCTTTGGAAGCTCCAGCATCGGAAATTCTATTTGACATAATCGAAAGTTCAAGTTTACTTTTATAAAATTGCTCTTACAGTCTGCAAAAAATAATAAACCGGATCTAATTTGAAGATTAAGGAACAATGCAATCATCAACATTAACTGAAATAGGTAATTAGATAATTTTAGCTTATGCCGTCCGTTATTCATAAAACGCGCACGCGAAAACATATTCTGCGCTTGCCCACACGCATATGCGCAGTCGTAAAGGTCTTACGCGCACGCGTAAACGCCTATGCGCATGTGTCAACGCGGCGCATGCGCAGAAAGTTTTTAGCTTTGAGGTCTGGATTATGGGTGTCCGAATTAACGACTTTTGACTGTATTTGCCTCTTGTAGATGAACTAATATGTGGCAAATTCCAAATTAAGAATTGAATTCAAAAAACATATTGCTTAATACTAATTCAGAAGTCAAAAAACAAAAATCAGCGTTATACCTACAAAATTTTCACAGGACTAGTTTCGATGGTTTTACCGAACCATCATCTTCAGCTGCAAACCGCAAAACCGCAAAAAAAAAAAAAAATTTTGCAGACTGTAAGAGCAATTTTATAAAAGTAAACTTGAACTTTCGATTATGTCAAATAGAATTTCCGATGCTGGAGCTTCCAAAGGATCTACAAAACAAAAGTATGTTTCGATGTCCATCAAACACAAAGTGGAATTGCTGCAAAAAATGGATAAATTTTGCGGTTTTGCTGCTGAAGATGATGGTTCGGTAAAACCATCGAAACTAGTCCTGTGAAAATTTTGTAGGTATAACGCTGATTTTTGTTTTTTGACTTCTGAATTAGTATTTATTCGGCGTGTTATTGTGTCTTAATTATATTGCTTAATGTTATGCATGGAGGTACAGGCATTAATGGACTCTTATGCTGCCTGTAGAATTAGAAGTTTAGTGTTTATCAAAAAGGGTATAAGTGAACAAATTTTTTTATGAAAACCCGAAATTCATTTTCTGAATGATTTTTTGCTTTAACTTTTTTTTTGTTTTTTTAACCAAAAACATTATGAATAACTTTTTCAAAACAAGCAGGTTTTAAAAATTGATCAATAGCATGTGTTAAAAGAAAGAAAAGGTAAAATTGTCATTTTGCTAATATTTATAACTGATGTTTGCAAGTAAAACTGAAAAATACATGTCCGAAAACAGATGTCAGCCTTTGTAATGATGCAATAATTATATCTTTAAGTAAAATGTCATAAAATAATAAATAAATGTTTTAAATTAAACTTTATAAAAAGATTTGGTAAAAGTATATTTACGGGTACCCCTTTGGTGAAAATTGGTAATTTTTCGCTGCACATGGATACCTAGTTCATGCAATTCTTTGACTTATTTTGTCTTTGTGCAGTTTTAGCTCCAAAAACCATGGCTATCCAAAGACAAAATAACAAGTCAAAGAATTGCACAAACTTGGTATCCATGTACACATTGACATATTTAAACTTAAAAAAAATCACAGAACTGCACAAACTAGGCTTTATGCACTCCCTTAACTTTATCCATGTATACGTCAAACTATTTTCACTAAAAAAAAAAAAAAAAAAAATCGGAGAATTGCGCAAACTTGACATTGCACACTCCCTTCGTCAATGTACACATTCATATTTTTTCACTTAAAAAGTCAAAGAAACGCCATTTCTAGGTAAAAGTATATTTACAGAACATTCAACTTCTCAGGTTATCATACATGAAACAACAACTTCACGATAATATAAGGGGTACCCTTCAGTCTACTCTAACCAAAGAGGTAATGTAAGCGTTTATATTTATTTCTTTTCATGCAATATTAAATTCTGTTTTATTCTTTTCAATGATTAATTTTTTTATGCTTTTCCATTGTGCACCTGTCATTCATTTTGGCATGTATATATTTATATATAGAGAGAGAAAGTACCGTATGCATGTTGTTTATAAACAACTAATAACTAGAAATTGTTTATAACTAAAAATACTGCCAGTATGTGTTTTTGGTACACAACAGAAAAGTATCAATTTTTTAAATTTTACTTTTGAATCAGTAGTTTTAATTCATGGTCTCTGGTGCACAATGATGCAATTTTTGTTGTAGAATTAAAAAGTGAAAGCATGTGGCATTGAATTTGAAAATGTGTTAATGATTATTTCTTACAGATGTAGCTTTAAATTCAAAAGCAACTTAAAAGTGTTTCAAAGAATTATAGCATTCATGATTAAATCAAAATTTCAGCAAGTAAGAATACACAAGTAATTCAAGACAATTTTTAAATTCCTCAGTGAAGCTGCAATGATGCTAATCATTAGTGACATAAATATAACTATCTATTAATTGCAATACTATAATTTTTCTGGGATTTTTGTCATAAAAAGCTAGATCAAAAGAGTAATTATTAAATTTTTTGGAATAATGAATGTTCAATGCAATTTTTTTAAAGAATTTTATCTTACATAATTTATGTGGAATATTTTTTTTTTTTTTTTTTTTTTTTTTAAAGCTTAAATTTGCTCCTGAAAATAATGTTAAGCTATAAAAATTAAGTATGAACTGTTAAACTCTGTGAATAATTTTTTATTATTTTAGTGCAAGTTTTAAAAGAATGTTTGCTTTTGTGTTTAATATTGCATTCTTTTTTTTTTTACTAGATTTAGTAATTTCTTTTGATTTTGTCTGCAAAAAAGAATCTGCATAAATGTATGCATGTTTCTCGCGTTGTGATAAAACAATGGTAGCCATCCATTGTAGAGCCATCCGATTTTGAATAACGTACGTCTTCACCCGAATATAGACATCTGAAAGCCCGGAAAAAAATTTGTTTTACATTTTTAAAGAAATTGGTTTACAAACATTTTGAGGGACAAGTTGCTTTCAGAAATGAATTGCATTTGTGAACCTAGGTTTCACTTTAAATTCATTGCTTACCTTTGGTTCTGTCTGAACGGGAGTAAATATTAAAATCAGATTTAAGTGTGATGTTAAATTCTCTGTTTCTCAATCAAATATAGTTCTTACCCTTCTTTTTAAATTTCCATCTTATAATTATTCTTAATGTATGTCTTCATTTTTGTTTTTCTGTTTCATTTTTAAAGTAATAATGTGATTTTTCTTTTGTTTTAAAAAATTCAATAATTTAGGTGGAAAACATTCCTTTTGAAATGGATTTTGACAGAAAAGATGGTGAGTTTTTCTCTCATTTAATACTCTCAATGTCTTTCTGTTAAAGTACTTTTACACAAAATATGAATGGAGGGAAAAAGTGTAATTTGAAAAGTTTGCTTATGTATGTCTGTGATATAATGTGTTTAACTCTTTCTTCATATATTATTTTATATTTTTTGTTGGCTTGCTGTCTTTTGCAGAAACTTGTTAAATCCCTGATTAGTACCTAAACTTTGAACTGTAGCAGTTGACAGGAGCAATTTCTCTATATCTAGTTTCCAATCTTAATTAGTTTTTGTTGATAAATTCTAAGCAGGAATTGGAAATATAGCTGTTTTATGTGACTGTTTCTTTTCCCAGTTGAAAAAGATTTTTGTTATTTTCATGCTAATAGCTGAAATAAACCCGGCATCTCTACTTATATCAGCTTCACGTAGTGGGATATGGATTTGTAAGCCCCCACAGAGGCTTTGTAATGAGATTTTAATCGGATCTTCGGTACTTTTCCGTTTCGCCGGCGCAAATCTCGCCGAGCAGACTTTATTGGCGACAACATACAGTAAACACACAAAAAATACTAAGAAAAATGTTAGTTCTAAGAATTCTTTTTTTGAAGGCATAAACATTTTAATATCGCTTAAAATTTTATAAAAAGCCAATAAATAAAGACAATAAATTTGTAAAAAGACATTAATTTAAGAATTTACTATGCTTTCATGGTTCAACATCCTGATTCGCCGGTTCATATCACGTGACCCCAAGCGATCTCATCTCACATAAACTACTCTACAAAAATCTAAGGCTCTCAGTAATTATCTACATTAATTTCAAGCTAAATCTTAATTTGGAACACAAGTTTAAATGCAAGAAATATTTTAATTTCTACGAATAACTTACTCAGAAATGATGTAAAACTGCAGTGCTTTACTTCGCTAATGCATTCTCAATAGAATAGATGAATTTAACCCTTGGACATTACCTTTTCTATATTTTCGGCTTCGGGTAAGCGCTGTGATTGCATCTTAATTGACTTAATTACCGAAAATGGCCTTAGACATAAAACTGAACTACCTGATAAAAATTCTATGTAATTATATGCCAGTATTGAAAGAAACAATCAATCTGATAAGAAAAAGCTGCGACTTGTTTTGAAAAATGAGGCCTAAAAGGTTACCAGCGAGACTATTCCGTTTGGCATCGGTTGTACCATTATTGGCGACTTGATCGCTTGCGCCGGCAAAACTGAAAAGTACCGGATCTTCTTTACATAATTTCCATATATTCTATAGTTTTCTCTTTCTCCATAAATATTCAGTTCATTAAAACAATTTGCAGATCTTCTTGTATAACTTTGTTTTTCAAAACATAGTCTTCTTGTGAACAGAGTAGCATATAATTGGACTTTGTCATTCAGTGAATCAAATGCTTCCTTTAAAATAGGAATTCTTGGCAGTCTAGCTCTTAACTGTGCAATCAAGCATAATGTTGTGTTTTTCATGAACTGATTAAATTTTAGTGTGTTCTGCAGGAACTGTTTGTTATTCATCTATGTTGTCAACATGTTTTCTATGTCCTGATTTGCTGTCTCACCACTGTCTTATTTTGTAAAGCACGTTCTTGAGCTGTGACCAGGTTTAAGCCATCAGTACGTCTGTTACAAAATTTTCTTCCATTGTTTGACTGTAATATGGATGGTTCTCCAAATTACAGGAATATGTCAAGCAACTGTGCTACAAATTCTGCTGCTGTCTTTGTTTGAAGAGGTCTTCAAATGACAACCTTAGTAAAAATTGTCTTAAAAAAGTTTGAAAAAAAATGATAGTTTTCATCAGTTTGTGTTTGAAAATTTATGAAGTCTACTTGACATTTGAGTTGATATGTGAAAATAAAAAATAGATTTAACATCATTTTTGTTTCCTTTTTTATTGAAAAGGCTTGCAGAGATTCAGAGAAAATACTACTATCATTTTGTATAATAAATCCGTTTTTTCATTGTTTGATTTCTGCACTATGCTCAATAGATGAATGGGTTTCTTGTAAAATGTCAAACAAAGAATCATTTGAAGAATAAAATCACTTAATCCATATTTAAAAATGAAATGCTAAGAAGCTTATTTATAAAGTGATAAATGACGAAGGAATAAATCTTCAGCAAACAATCCCAAATTTAAATTAATTATTAAATGATATTGACATAGAAAACAAGAGTTTAGTTAAACAAAATGAGTACTAAATTAAAAAAAAAAAGTTATCCTAAAAAAAAAAAAAAAAAAAAAAAAAAAAACTTGTGTATATCAGTAAAATTAACATGCATAAACATGTAAAATGGCAAAAGAGTAACTTCCCAGAATATAATTCTAAGTGGCAGTCTAAGTCAGAAGTTAAAAATATGTAAAATAATATGAGAAATGAAATGAACATTAAATTTAAAATCTGTCCTAGGAAGTAAAAAAGCCTCATTTAATAAAATTAAGAAATTCATCTACTAAAATAAAATGATAGAAGGAACAGTGCACTTGTAAAATGGTGCATAAATGACCAGCTAAATGTGTCGGGAAATATTTTTCCTTGAAAGACGGAAAAAAATGTGGGTTATAAGATATTGTGATCGTGATTCTAAGTGAAGTGTCTTTGCTTATAAACCCCTTTTAAATGCATACCATGTACCATGTGTTTTTTTTGGGGGGGGAGGAGAAATAAAACTTTTCTGCTATGTAAGTTATAATTCTGTATATTTTGGAGGGAGGAATCTGGAAAATTGCTTAGTATTTTTTACTCATTCTTGCTTTAAAAGGGGATGAAGGATTTGTTGTATAATGTGTGAAATTTTTTGATATTTTATAATGTATACATTTTTAATGTTAAAATTTTAAAATAATGGGCATGCAATTATTAAAAAATTAAAGGTACTTTTCAGTTATATGGGAACCACGAAAAACAAAATGTGTAGTAATGTGCCAAAGATAGCAACAATGTGATCAGCTAAATCATCTTGGTTTTATGAGTGAAATTGAGTCAAATATTCCGTATCTGCAGCCTTTTTTCAGAACTGCACGACACATAATTTGATAGATGACTTTCTTCGTATACGTTATTTGACTAATAGTGTTTTTTATAGGAGGAAAAAAAAAAAGAAAATGGATTTTGCAATCTGGAATTCACCTAAAGATGAGGAGGCAGTGAAATTACTACAGGATAAAGGAATTCTTCATAGGCGATGCCAGTATGGCATTGCAACTTTAGATCTTGCTGAGAAAAAATAGGTGCTACGTTTCACACTTCATTTGAAGGATTGCTCCTAAATTTCTGTGCAGCTGTAAAATCTATCTGGTGTTCATGCCACAAACTGACCTCAGATGACTTTTGTAATGTGCTGTGGAAAATGAACCATAATGCAGTTGTCAACTAGAACAATTATATATCAGTGGTTTGCGCTCACGTCTTGTTATGTAGACCTGAAATTGGTGGAAATAACAGAACATTAGAGGCGATGTCCTTTTACTGGAAGAAAGAGTAATGTTGAGCGTGTTCTTAATCCACAGTCAGTTTTTGGAAGCCTATGTAGAGAAACTTTAGAAAAAAAAAAGAATGCTTTCTTGTAGCCATTTCAGATCGCTCAGCTGAAACTTTACTTGGCACAATTGAAAAAAACGTCAAAGATAGTAGTATAATTTTTTCTGATTGCTGGAAAGCATACAAAATGGAGGATTTGAAAGAAGCAGGGTATAATCACCTCACAGTAACTACAGATACAATTTTGTAAACCCAAATATATTCGATGTCATATGCAAACAGTTGAATGAATGTGGGCAAGTACAGAATAGTGTAATAATGCCAACATGGCACCCCACACCACCATCTTGACTTATTAGAGTTTATGTGGCATCAATTACACAAAAAAATGAAATTTTGTACAAAATATGTTTTACACCACCATCTTGACTTATTAGAGATTATGCGGCATCAATTACACTGTAGAGACATTAGGTATTTTTTTTTTTAAATCGGGCAAGAAGAAAAATATGCAACGCCTTTGCCAGGGGCTCTCAATTATGCACTGAGCATGCAGACCACTACACCACGAAGGCTCACTAAGAAGGCGGGAGAAATACCTTATATACTCCTCCTTTTAAAGTGTGACTGGGGTTTTTAGAGGATCCAATCACCAAATCCCGGGTGAGGAGAATTATCATCCAAACACCCTTTTAGTTCAAGTGCCACTGTAGAGGCATTAGGTATTTTTGGAAGCAGGCAAGATGAAAAATTAGCAATGCCTTCGCTGGGAATTGAATCGCGGAGCTCTCAATTACGAGCTGAGCGTACAGACCACCACACTAAGAAGGTGGGAGAAATACCACATAACGCGCACACACAAAAAAAAAGAAATGTTTTACGAAATATTGCAAGACATCTCTAAATTCATAGCCTGTGTTCAAATTTAAATTGTATTTCATTTATAATGTATTTAAAATTTGTCAATGCTGTCATAACAAACAATATCGTATGTTTTTTGTAGCATCCGTATAATGGAAAATTACCAAATTAAACAGTTATTTGAAATATTTTCAATAATTGATTAATTGTGTTATAAATTGGGGATAGACTTCATCTGGTTTTTTATTTTTTTCTTTCTTTTTGTAGCTGATGGTATAGTAAAATTATGAAATTATTAATTTGTTCATTAAGCAAAGATATGGGAAAAAATTGCATATGTACCCTCACCATCCAAATGTGTGTGTTAATTATCCTTAGTTCAGCTAGCTTTATGGTATGCAATACCAATGCATATAAACTTTGCTTTATTGCTATTAATTAAATCATATGAAAAGTCCAATTATACTCATATTCTAAGTTATTTTTAGTAATTAATGTATGTTTTCTGAGATTCTGTACTGAACAGATTAAAGTATGAAATTAAAAATTTAAATTACCTTTTTTTGTTTTGTGCGTGTAATATTTGTGTGCCATTGATTTCAGAATTGAAATATTTCTTTTTCATATTAAATATATAGGTTTCAGTTATTTAGATGGTGTTCCTGTTAAAATATCTCCTAAATTCTGCCCACCGCGACCAGTTTCTATGCCTTTAGCGCTTGATGCAGAATTTCCATCAAATTTACTTGCCGAGCAGGTAGGTTGCAGTTCAGGTTTCTGGCCTAGTGTTAGTGGCATTTTAATGCTTTTTTTAAATTTATTTAAGTTTATTTCTGTTTATTAAATAAAACTAAATTTGTTTAAATTAAATCTATATATACATATATTTATCAGGTTTGTCAGCTGATCAGTCTCAAATATTCAATTTGATATCACATTTTTGGACATTAAAAACAGATGTGAAAATGAACTTCCCTCTTTTATGTCAATCTTTGTGTAATACGGGATTGCCTCTGATAGAAATACAGTCTTCATATCCTAATTAAAGAGAATTTATAAAATTGTTGATCAAGCCTTGTGAAATTGCACTTTTCCCAATTTGTACTTTTCAGATACTGGAATATTCAGAGAAGCCTTAATGCATTCTCTGCATACTCCAAATCTAGTGAGTAATTTATTCAAGACATATCTTCGTTTTCCAAGTATTCAGATATCAGTAATGTGGACAACCGTTGTCACTTGTTAGCAAAAAATCTGGGCCAACAGTGTCCGTAAACAGCCATGCATGTTATTCTAAGAACTTTTACACTTATCTGTGACACTGGTTACAGAACCTCAGATACTAGTTTGTTGCGACCTTTTTTTTTTTTTTTTTTTTTTTTTTTTTTTTTGGATGACTTCACCCCAAACTGTTAAACTGATTCTTGTAGAAACAGAATCTTGAACAAGGAATGCCCATTTGCATGTTCTTTTCTTTCTGCAGATCAAAGCACATTTAGAAATCATAGTTCTGGCTATATCTGGATTAATGGCTCCACTGAAAATGATGATGACATGACCTTAAGCAAGTCTCATTTGAAGATGAACTGAGTGAAACGCAAACTATTGATTTTCTTGCACTAAGTTCAACTGATTCTAATTCTCTTGTAGTTGCTTCATGGTTTCTTTGTGTCAACAAAATGAATAGTCTTTGAATGCAATTTTTGCTATTGGTTGCCCTGGAGCAAGTTGCCTAGTAATTGATATATTGCTTTAAAGAGATTTGAGAGGTATTTAGTTCTTGGGCTGTTACTTGCGTATTATTGCAACCACCTTAATAGAAGTCCCCAAATTTTCAGAATTCTCCAAACTCTGGCAACCATGCCCATAACATTCTTCAGGTAACCAGATTCATTGTAAGTTGCAGTCCAAAAATTCACCAAATCATCCCCTTTTTTTTCTTCCTTGTACGAAGTAAAAAGGAAGTATTGTAATCGTAAAAAGTTTCAAGCAGCATATTTCAACGCAAATATCCATTTTCGCCGCTATCAAATGCAATTTAACGATGTTTTTGCTTGACATCTGTTCGTAAGGACAGAATAAAGGACCCTTTTCCCCCCAAAAAAATTGTAAAGCGAATTTAAAATGCATTCTGAAGAGAATTTTTCGTGGCATCTGTACGAACGTACGTACGTACGTATCTCGCATAACTCAAAAACGAGTAGCCTCAGAATGTTGAAATTTCGTATATAGGACTGCTATAACATGTAGATGTGCACCTCGTATTTTGGTTGCAATCAGCCGCACCAAACGTATATAAATATATTTATATATATATATCCAGGCTGTTACCCGGCTCAGTAATCTCAGTTTCTTTACTCTTATATGTTTGTAAATTGTACATTTTTTGCTTTAAAAATGGTTGAATTATGCTCTTTTTATCTTTCGATTAAGGTTTTTATGCCTTTAGTAAATCTATATGCAATATTTTTAGAATTATCAACAATTTAAAAATTGTTTAAGTGCCACTAAGCCTAATAATTTTGCCATGTTCAGCCATTGCTTGTTTACATTTGAAACAACAGAATAGTAGATTTGTTGCCAATCTAGAGAAAGTAAGCTTTGCAATAACAAAGGTAATGCCTTCTTTAATTATTGCGAATTAAATCATGCTTAATCCATTCTGGAATTTATTTGAGGAAATAAGTGTTTAAGATTTAATTCATAATTTTCAATACGGACATTTGGAGTTTTTATGTATATTTGCCTTTTCGCGAAGTGAGAAGTGAATTAATTGATTGAGAAATACTGAATCGTCTGTGAAAAACTGTTTTTCTTTTTTTTTTTTTTTTTTTGTTTGTTTTTGTTGTTGTTCTTTGCTTAATTTCTTTTATACATCGATTTAGATTCATTATAATATTTGAATAGAACATGTGGCAACGATTAGATAATTCTTAAGATGATATAAATTTTGTGCATTCTGAGTTAAAAAAATGATTGAAATGTATTGCTGTTAAGTGAGCCTAGGGCCAGAGTGTCCCTAGGGTAAACAAATATAGTGAACTTTAAAGAGTGCATTTGTTCTATTGTTTTTTTATGTGCTATTGTCAAAGTAGATTTAATTCAATCCAATAAGTTTAAATAAAAGGCAAGAAAAAATGCATATAATTTAATATTCCGTATAAGAAAGTCATGTGGTGTGCACATGAGATTTTTTTTTTTTTTTTTTCCAAATAATCTCCAAACTGTAGTTGCTTTAAAATTTAAGTATCCTTGGTCTATCTCTGTATTTCCCATGCCAAAATCTACCAATTTACTACAACCTTTATTCTTTTTTAAATGTTACCTTTAAGTTGTAACTGTTAAATTTGAATGTTATCTTTGAGGCATATGAACTTTGAATGACATTATGTATCTGAATTCCAACATGCATCCATTGTGCAACATGAAGTCAATCACTTAATTTGTATATTTCATGCACTAACTTGTGCACACAGGTCAAATTTTGTTTTCACTCGCAGATCATTAAATGTAAATAAATACACCATTTGGTTGATAATTTTAATCGGTGAGAATTTTTTTTTTCAGATTATCTTTTAATTAGCAAAATATGTATGTATGTATATATTATATATGTACGTAAAGGAGGCAAAATTTAGAAATTGTAGAAATATCGATGGCAAATCACATAGTAGATCCAACCCTACCAGTTAATTATAATAAAAACAAGTTTTAGAAGTATTGTGACATAGAAACTCGGGAATTCTGATGACGAAGCACTTAGATGGCATATTGAAGAAACATATATATCTAAGAAACTTGGCAGTCAATCGAGGCAAATTAACACTAGAATTATGGCAAAGGTTATTTTGACCGCTATTTCTGTTCTAATTAGACATAACTTCTTTTAATTCTTTGTTAAGTTTGTTTGTTCACTCTAGATTTTTTTAAACTCTTTCTAAAGACTTATGAATATTGCGTGATATTTTTTGTGCATTTTTAATAATTATTTTCTCCAATATTGTTTATACCCATAATTACGGCTATCGCTCATTTTGACCATATCCAGAAAATTATAAGTTTTTTGTTATTTTTACGACTTTTTTAGCTATTTTCGGTTTGTTGATAAATAAACATATGTATTTGTGGTAAAGAAAATTGCATATTTCACGGAAGTGAGTAGGGGGAGCAATAAAAGCACTTGCTTGGAATTTTTGTATGCTACCTGAAATTTTTCGTGATTACAATACTTCTTTTACTTCATTCAAGGAAGTAAAAAGACACCAAAAGCTGTGAGTATTTTACAGTTTGATCAAATATGGAGTTTATGTTTTGGACTAGATGGCTAGAAAATACTCAGTGAAGTCCTCATCAAGACATTGGTCAGATCAAGTTTTTTTTTAAATGTTCTTGAATTGGCCTCAATAAATGCATGGATAATTTAGAAGGAAAAATAAGAACATCAGCCATCGAGATTTTATTTTGAATACGGATGAGGAGCTTCGAAAGATGTACACTGCCACAAAAAAAAAAAAAAAAAAAGGACAGTTTTATATCTTCCATTCTACAGTGACAATTGGTGAAAATCAACTTGCGTTTTTCATGTCTCGAAAGCGCAATTTTGGATATGTATTACAGAGTTGCCAACTCTTCTGATTTAGGCGGGAGACTCCCGATTTTTGACCGTTGTCCCGCCAACCTGATTTACAACATATTTCGCCAGATCTTTCTCTTATTCTTAAATTTTCTCACGATTTTTATGTAGCTTGGCTCAATACTTCTTTATTTGCTTTGCCAAAAAAGTTATTTGGGGTGTCTGAAAACATCTGGTTTTTCTCTAGATTGTGAAGAAAACCAAAGTAGTTTCATCGGTGAGAAACTATGCCGCGTTTCTGCTTTGTGAGTGAGCGTACGTGTCCGAAAACGTCATACTGTATACGCTCACGTAATGTCCGCACTTTTTTTTACTAAAATTACGTTCACTAAAATGCAGGTGCGGACGTTACACGGTTGTTCAAATGTCGCGCTTTTTCTCGCGAGTAATTTTAGGTGTAAATTTCATTTCAAACAGCCAAGTTAAGTTCTATGTGGAAGAAAATAACATAAGTATGAAAAATATCAAATTTAAAGTTATCTAATATGGCTACCTAAAATTTACAAACTCCTTTCCTCCCATCCACATATATAATATAAATTACCTCGTTCGCATTATCACCACTCGGCGCGGATAAGTTCGCACAGAAGCGCAATATAGAGACACAAATTAACTAACACTTGCAATTTTAATATTTACTTTTACACAAATTAAATAAACATTGGTTCTTTTAACATCTTGCACACATTATTTAAAAAAAAAAAAAAAAAAAAAAAAAACTTCTGACGCACTGTATGAAAATTTTGGTTGGTTATGTCTGCGTGTGTGAATGTAAAATCTTTCTGCTGCAAATAGTAGCATAAAAATTGCACAAGAAAGCAAAGAAAATGCATATTCTTTAAAGATGTTTATTGACTGAAGAGAAAAAGGCGATGTTAAGAAAAATATTAGGTAAAATACTCATGTACTTTTCAAAAATCGTATACAGATGACTTTCTTTCTAATGTTTCCTCAAGGAAATATAATGCATTTGCGATGTGTAACTATTTGTCACTGCGATTTTTTTTTTTTATTTTCGTACGGTGGAAGGGTGGATGTTCTTAAACATGTTCGTACACAAAAACACAGAGACAACAACAACAACAAAAAAAAAAAAAAAAAAAAAAAAAATTTCCTGTGGAAAC